TCCTAAATAAATGATCTCCTTGTCTTCTGCCGTTACAAGTTGATGTCAGAGTGCAAAATAAATTGCAAGCTGTGCTTGTACTCACTCCAGGATGTTATTGATTTGTTTAGTAGTACTATGTGTCGATAAATATTAAGTGTGTGAAAAACAAGGACAGACTTTGTAGGAAGAAAACCAAACTAATATACGCCGGTCATCATCATAATGCATAATGTGATAGTGTTTAAGACAGTGGCCATTTCTTTCTTATAATTGAATCCACTTTAACGATAACTTTAATAGTTACGGCGGCCTGTTTAATTCATTCGGCTACCAGAACTTCCATCCATCAGAAGTGCAGCTTAAACTCTTCTGCATTTCTTATTGTTTAAATCATACCATTTATATTGAATGTTCACTACATCAACTCGAGCGCATATTCAATTAGCTTTCAACAAAATGCTGTACAATTTTTGAAAGAAATAACGAAAAAATGCAACAAACATAACTAACCCTTACAAACCAAACTATAGAAAATTAATCTGATGCTCGCTAGTGACTTGCTACAGGATGCAGTTTCCTGGAGTTCTAGTGAGAAATCGTGACCAGTGAGGTTCAACCAGATGTCACGTGTAAGGATGGATGTCCCACCTACGACAACGGTTGGGGTCGCGCTAAATCACGAATTGGTAGAAGTTAGAATTTATGCACTGGCCATTGAATCGGGTCCCAGTGGCTGAATGGTATACGAGCCAGCTTGTCTTGTAACCGGAAGGTCCTGGGTTCGAACCCCAGTGGGTGCGTACTGCCAATGATTCTCAAACTAGGCTGACGAAACAGCTGTCCAGTACTCCCTTTGGCTGGTTTTCAATGGTTCTCTAACTGATATCAATCAATCCGTGATCAACTCGTAAAAACATAACTAACCCTTACAAACCAAACTATAGAAAACAATATTATGTCACATGGTATTGTTCAGATCATTACTTTACAGGTAAATAATCGTGTATGCAGAGGGATTATTTTAGAACTAAATACGCTGAAAATTTCTGTACACTATGTGTGTTCACACAATGTCCGAAATAAAGTCTTATTATTTAGAAAAAAAAGTAAAGAAAATAAAAGTATTTCGAAAAATCCGATAGTGTACACTTAGTCGTAATTATGATCATAACTTAAAAAGGTAACTTAATTACATGAATTATTTACTTTGACAGTTTTTGAATACCGCGAAATGCTGAGACAAACCCCCTACCACCATATGTCTATCAAGTTGTCTGAAATAAAGCTGATCGTTTGTGTCTGCGTGTGCGTGTGTGTATTCGTGAATATATTTCATTAGTCAAACGAGTTTATATGAATCATTTTTTTTCCTTCGCGTTCCCCAGTGGAACATAGGGCTTCAAGCTAGTGGCTTGAAGTTTCTGTAGCAGTGTTTATTTTACAGGATGGGGTTGCTAGCCTCATGCCCAGCAGCATTATTTCTGGCTTAGCGAGGTAAAGGAATGCGTCGGCCGGGAATGGAACCCCGGACCATGTGCATGGTCGGCGAGCATCTTAACCGCTATACCACCGACGCACATATGAATCATTAGAAAAATAAATTGGAAGATAATACCAGCACCACTACTAGTTGGGGGAGGGAAGTCAGTAGAAGTTTTAAGAACGGATCACTTGGAATGGAAAAATGGTTCGGAAAATCCCTCCTCCTCCTGGACGATCTACTGATAATATTTATACTTATTTCGACGTTTCAACTAACTTTGTAATTAGTATACGTTTCCCCCCCACACTGTGTATCAATAATTTGGCATTTGCATATCATATATATATATATATACATATATATATATATATTGATTTTTGACCTTTATTATTTGTCTTTGTCCTTATTTAACCTTTAGCCGTTATACTTCTATGTGCTTGTGTACACGTTTATAGTGTACTCTTTAATCATATGAGTTTGTTTGAGTGAATGAATGAAGGTCATTCTGACCTTCTCTGTAGTGTCTGCGGAAATTGTGTTGGTGTTTGAGTCTTGTGAACAGAGCTTTTCATTCCACCTTGTTGGGAATATTCTCCTGTTGATTCTAAATGTACTTTTTACAATTGGACTTTGGTTAACTAACTGTGTCTTACAGTACTTGTTTTTGTATTTAGTGACCTACATTGCCTGTATAACTAACTGCCTCACGGCACTGTTAAGGTAAATTTTGAGTTTTGATGCGATTATTGTTTAATAAGACCCCTAGAATATTCAAGAGTAATCGTCTCTTCTCTGCTTTTGGAACGTTTCGTGATAGTGCGTGTCTCGACGAAGTTTTCTCGCCTTGTAATCAGAAGGTCCTGGGTTCGAATCCCGGTGGGTGCGTACTGCTGAAGAGTCCAAAAACTAGGACGAAACAGCTGTCCAGTACTTCCAGGTTTTCCAATGGTTCTCTAACTAATGTCAGCTCATGATGAAATCCTGTAACCAATCAAATCCCTACAAACCAACACTTGAAAATTCCATATTAGTTTGTTTATTAGATATATCACACAGTGAAACAGTATTATTTACTGGATGACGAGGTTTCGAACACAATCTGTTATTGTTCATAATCATTTCATCAATTGTAATCACACGACTTTGAAACTTGAGTTTTATAGTTTTCTTTGTCCTCTCCTATTTGTCGTCGTTGGGGTAGTAGAATTTTCCAGATATCCTGGTGGACAGGTGTTGAATCATTCCTATTACACGTGTTTGTAGTTGATTCGATAAACAAAGCTTCTGTTATCAATCTCTCCCTATACCCTGTTGTTAAATTAGATTTTAAAACTGTCATCCTATCCCATCCCATTGTGTGGTTAGTAATAATAATAATAATAATAACGACATGCATGTGAAATATGCGCAAGACAACACCAACAATAAGGAATCTAAATCATCAGTAGTAATTCTATACAAAGAAGGAACCTCAGAAACCTTATGCCGGAGAATTTTTAACAAGGCAGGCAGGAATAAAAGTGGCTGGCATTCAAACCCTCCCACCACAAACTCAATTAGAAACAAGCTTTGTCGACTACAGGATCCTGTGGAGCCTTTAAAACAAAACAATTTAGTTTATCTAATACCCTGCCTGCGATGATTGTCAGGTCAAATGCATAGAAGAACAGGTGCTGTCAGACTAGCCAAACATAAAAATCTGGCAATATCTAGATTGGCTGACCCAAATAAGATAAGAAATCTAGAGAATAGTTCAAGTTTCAAAGTCGTGTGATTACAATTGATATGATTATGAATCGCAATAAATTTTGCTCGAAACTGTGTCATCCAATAAATAATACTGTTTCACTGTGTGATATATCTAATAAACAAACTAATATGGAATTACTTACTACCACAGTGCCCAAGTTTTATACATATATTAAATATGACTTATGGTCTTCCTGTACGAAGTTTTGTCAGCAATACAGTAGAACATAGAGATCGGTTACTTGCGTTCAGACCATAACCGAACAAATGAAGTCTCTGCATCACACTTGATTCTATCCCCCTCACCCAAAGGCAGAATGGTTGAAATGTAGTTTTTAATTGGTGGATGGTGACTAGCAGTGGAATCCAGGATAACGAGCATCTCGTCCCACTTAGGACTCTTCATCTGGATGCACCTGGATTTCCCACTGAGTGGTGTTCCCACCGAGGCTCAAGCCCAGTGCTCGTAGTTTCAAACGCCAAAGCGTTACCCACTACTAGACCACTTGGGCCACGAGAGCCACCTCTTGCGCAATGGGTCATAATAATTATTTAATTGAATTTTAGATTTTCCCGTCGATTGATTGGACCGAAGGGTTCTTGTGCAGATGCTTCAATAATGTCTGGTCATGTAATTAGAAGTTAATTGGTGGATGGTGACTAGCAGTGGGATCCAGCCAGATGTGCATTCCGTCCTAGTTGGGACGACATGTCAACCTGAGACCGAGCACTTCGATCCAATCAATCGATGGGAAAATCTAAAATTCAATTAAATAACCAACGGTAGTTTGGCTAATTTACATGAGTTTATGACAGTCACAGGTTATGACTGTTCACCTCAACTTTGTTAGTTCTCAAATCGATGTGGTGGATTAGTGTACCGAAAGTTGCTATGACATAACACCGAATAAAAATGAAACACTTTATACATTATGCATTCAAGCTACAACCGACAAACTGGTCAGAGAAGCAGCAAAGACAGGTCTCCAGGTGGACATAGACAAGACGGAGGTTATGAAAATAGCCAACCAACCAACCAACAACAACAACAACATCCAGCGCCAATCACCATCAACGGGAGGGATTTGAAAGAGGTTACTTGATTCACTTATCTAGGGAGCATTGTCTCAACTACTACAGGGGGAACGGACGAGGATGTCAAATCGAGAATCGGTAAGGTGAGAAACACATTCATCAACCTGAAACCAATCTGGAAATCTTCGTCACTCAACATCAACAACAAAATTCGAATTTTCAATACAAACGAAGTCAAGTCAGTTCTTCTATACGGATCAGAAACTTGGTCAGTGTGTCACAAAGAATATTTCCAGCAGCCTGTTGCAGACCTTCATCAACAATTGTCTTCGCTCTATACTGAAGATCAGATGGCCGGAAAGAATCACCAACAAGAGACTATGGGAACAAACAAAACAAGAACCAATCGCTGAACAAATATTCAGGAGAAAGTGGAGATGGATTGGACACTCGCTGAGGAGGCCGCTAGGTGAAATCGCGTGTCAGGCCAGTGCTCGAGTGGAACCCGAAAGGGAAGCGGCGAGTGGGACGTCAGTGCAAGGGTGACATGGAGGAGATAGTGTGAAGAGGAGTTGAAACAGTATGGATTAACATGGATGCAAGTGAAAAGTACGGTAGAAGACAGAAACAAGTGGGGACGTGCAGTTGAAGCCCTATGTTCCACTAGGAGCCCAAGGGAACAATAATAATAATACATTATGCAAAATATATAGAGTCAAACACACCGAGGATGATGATGATGATAACTTACTTAAGTCTTCTTTCAAAACCTGAATTTCTCCGATTTGAATATTTTGGATAATGAAGCACATTAGCATAACGTAAATTGAAACGTGGAAGACTTTGTGACTGAAATATTTCAGAGAAACAGTAAAAGAAGGTAAAAAGAATAAATAAAACGGTGGACGAAAAATGCATCAAAATAAAAAAAAATGGTCAACAGGATTAAAGTGTACATGTACATGAACGCATGTTCGGTGCAAAAATCTACACACACACACACCCGGCGCTCGCTTTCCAAACGTATCACCGAACACTTACCAACATGGTTTTACAAAGGAGAAAAACGATGCCCCCCCCACAGCTCCATCTTAGAGCATCTGATAGATTCCGGACACCAAGCTACACCCCAAACAAACTTCAAAGTCATCTACAGAGTAAGAAGTAGTCTTCCTAAAGTGTACGAATCAGACTTCTTCAAACTGCAGAAGCAATGGCAATTCACTTGCTAAGTCCTGAACTCTGCATACAGAAGAAGTTCGTTCAATCACTACACTTGCAATGGACGTAATCTATCTTATTACCCGACAAGTAAATTCTACCTAGTCTTTATTTTCTTTCTGTCTCTTCATTAGTATTATTTTGTCTTCTCAATTGTAATATTTTACATTTTCAACCTTCTTGTTCTCTACTCCCACCGATTTAATTTCTACACCTCACTACCACTGTTACTGACTTGACCAACACTCAATTTCTAGTCATTTATGTTACGTCATCCAACTTATTTGCTCAATTTCACTTCTAATTTAAATGGCATTATTCTCTACCCCACTTCTACTAAGTCTCTACCTGTAATTACCTCTGTTGCTACCCTGACCTAAGTTGAAACATTTTAAGCAATTATATTATTATTATTGTTCCCTTGGGTTCCTAGTGGAACATAGGGCTTCAAAGGCACGTTTCCACTTGCTTCTGTATTGAAAATCCGAATTTTGTTGTTGATGTTGAGTGACGAAGATTTCCAGATTGGTTTCAGGTTGATGAATGTGTTTCTCACCTTACCGATTCTCGATTTGACATCCTCGTCCGTTCCCCCTGTAGTAGTTGAGACAATGCTCCCTAGATAAGTGAATCAAGTAACCTCTTTCAAATCCCTCCCGTTGATGGTGATTGGCGCTGGATGTTGTTGTTGTTGGTTGGTTGGTTGGCTATTTTCATAACCTCCGTCTTGTCTATGTCCACCTGGAGACCTGTCTTTGCTGCTTCTTCGATCAGTTTGTCAGTTTTCGCTTGTAAGTTTTCGATTTTGTGTGACATCAGACATAAGTCTTCCGATGTTACGTCATCTAACTTACTAACTCAATCTTACTTTAGTTGCTGTCTAATTAACCTTGTTTCTATATTACATCATTCTTGTATTTGTATTACCTGATCAATTATCTAAACCTGACAACCCTCATGTACACACACACACAAATAATTATATATAAATGCGATTGTACAGCTATGTGAATGAATTCGCCGTTGGAAAGAGTCTCTTCGCTGAACATCTTCTCATTTTTATATGACTCAATGGGGATTTTTAAGTCACAGTAATAATAGCCGTAGTAGTAGTATCAACGGAAAGGCACATGAATTAGCTAAATAAACAAAGTGAAAAATAAGTAAATAAATGTTTATCCCTTTACAGTCAAGGCAGAAGTAAGGATTGTACATACTTCTCTTGTACACAATGTTCTTACTTGAAGAATTCATGAATGGCCAAGGCCTCCGGTATCTTTAGAAGTTTAGAACGAAGAAAACGCTGCAAGCTAACATAAAGAGTCTCTTCGCTGAACGTCTTCTCTTTTTCATATGACTCAATGGGGATTTTCAAGCTACACACACACATACAATGAAAACAGTACTGATCAGCTTTTGTAATTATTGGCACTGTGATGGCAAATCACCTTAGCTTGGTAACCAGACTGCATACTTGAATTTACTCAGTATACAATAACCAAAGACTAAACACGGTCAGAGAGAAGGTCAATCGTTAGTCTGAATACCTGTGATAGCGTCTCAGACAAAAGCACAGGTTGATATCTCCGAAGTGTCATCAGTTTTTTCATGGTTGCAGATATGGGTTACTGATGACAGGCAATAAGCAGGAAACCTAAGTCGTGGGATTTTCAGTAGATTACTTCCAAAAACACTAAACAACTGATTATACATCATTTCTTTTTTGAAATTTTTACCCACACTGTGATACCCCTGTGTGAAGTTGTATTTATGGTGAACACCTGTTGATACCTTCTTGTGACGCTGAGTTAGAGGAAATTATTGCGATGTCACCCAGCGGCCTCCTCAGCGAGTGTCCAATCCATCTCCACGTTCTCCTACATATTTGTTGGGCGATTGGTTCTTGTTTTGTTTCTTCCCATAGTTTCTTCAGTATAGAGCGAAGACAGTTGTTGATAAAGGTCTGCAACAGGCTGTTGGAAATATTTTTTGTGACCCTCCAAGTTTCTGATCCGTATAGAAGAACTGACTTGACTGGGTTTTAAAACAGCCTGTGAGAGGTGCAGCTGATGAAACTGAAAATAGTCTCGTATCAAGGGTTCAGTGTGGTACCAGCACTGCAGGGATATCACATCCTGGAAAATGGAAAGCCTTACTTCCTTATTGGGAGGAGAAGGTGTCGTCGTACATGTCGATGAAACTGTCTTATTAAACAAAAAAATACAACCGTGGTCGAGAACGAGAGAATAATGTTTGGGTGATTGGTTTATATGATACCTCTCTACAGAAAGGATTCGTCGAGAGGATAACAGACAAAAAGCCAAGTACTTTAATACCTATCATCACTCGAATTGTGAAACAAAGATCCACAATACACACAGATGAGTGGGAAGATTCTAACTCCCCGTCATCCCTTGGATATATTCACCACAGAGTTAACCATTCTAATGATTTTGTGGATCCCACACCAATTCTATCGAAGGCTTTTAGGGAAGGTTAAAAAACAGGATTAGAGCCATTAATGTATTGCAAAGCGATGTCATTTATAGTCATTTAGATGAATACACATGCATGGGATATGGTGTAACTTTTCCATTGATACTCCTATGTTAAACTGGCAGGTGTTTTTATCACATGTAAGAGAAAGGTATCCTATGTAACACCTTTATAGTTTTATGTATTTTTTCCATAAATATATGTATTCCATACCCAAAAACGTCTCGTTCGTGTGATTGGTGCGTTCAAGGTCATTCGTTGATTGGTAGTTAGTGATGCTGAAAGTTTAACTTTGCCGATTAGTTAATAGTGTATCGCATATGTACAACACTTGTTTCCCTTGAGAGGGTAACTGTAATAAATAATTGAAGGGTAACATTTATAATTTCAGAAATGCAGAATCAGTTTCAACCTTACAAGCAAACAGAACAAGCCTCACAGATAAACATTTAATAAGTATCAAAAAATTAAGGTTTATAACTCCATATGGTTAGCCGCTAAATAGCACAATTCAACCTCCAGATTTTAATGATAAATGTGAGCTAGAACATAACTGTGCTACTGACAAGATTTTCCAGTAGTAGGTGCAGATTGATAGGAAGTGGACAAAATTGAAATCAACGTTTTAAGTCAATGACTGAAGAGTGTTTATTCCTCAAATCTGAAACTAGTTTACATTATTAGACATGAAATAACGTCATTGGACAACTTGTTTAACCTTGAGCCAATCGCCAACCAATCAGAAGGATATATTCTCCTCTGGCCTAGTGGAACTTCAGTGCGGTTAAAAATGTGTATGATGTGTTTTCCCTGAAAAAACATCCGTTACCAGCTCAATTATCGTATGCCATCACAGTAGTACTACCAATTACAATTTGACTTTGTATTTTTCATTAAAAGCGATAACTAGTAAAACAACGCACTACTAAAACAAAAGAGGGAGAGAGTTTAAACAAAATATCTCACTTTTTCTTCAATATTTGAACACTCTGTATTATTTGATGTAGGCAGATCTTTATTATCTGAAGAAGAAGAAGGAGGAAGAAGAAGTAGACGAGAAGGAGTACAGCACTTCTTGCCAGCATTGGAATCACACGTTGAACTATTACTACTACTACTATACTACAACTACTTGCTAAACTATCTTTGAATCCATTTGACACAAATGAATTACTATTGTTGTCAGATTTACTACTAACATTGCCACTACTGATATTATTCAGTACAGAGGATACAGGGGATGCATGTGACGTTGTTTTAGGTGAACTTTTGCAAGTGAATAATGCTGTTGCTGCTGATGATGATGTGATTGGTGGTACGGGTGGTGGTGGTGGGGGGAGAAACGATGGTAACGATGATGATGCGGATGATAAGGAAGAAAAGGAAGATGGTGGAAGGAGTAGTAGTAGTGGATACTGGAAGTTGATCAGAAATGGAGTGTTGACTGAAGGATATGTTTGTAGTGTTATTCATAGCAGTAACACCAATATTATCTCTGTCTGCCTTGACATTGAAAACCTGTGGTGGTGTTGGTGGTTGTGGTGAAAAGTTGAAAACAGTTGAATATGGGATGGGAAATTTTATTTTTTCACTTGATTGATGAATAGTGTTAGAAGGATTTGATTGCACTGAATGATGATGAGCACATGCTTCATCAACTGGATCAACGGGAATCATCGATGCAATAATGGGTGTAAACTGTTGTTGTTGTTGTTGCTGCTCATTCACTTGTTGAAATGATGATTGATGATGTTTAGCATTATTCATTCTAGAGGATACTGATGATGATGATGAATGTGTATGATTAAGTGTTGTATAAGATTTGACACTTGAAATCGGCTTTGAACTATGTGGTGAAAATGAATAGCAGTATGAAGGACAAGTATGATTTGCCAGGGATGTAGGCTGTGGTGGTGGCAAATTATTTAAAACTGACAAAGGGAACGAATTCGATGATAGTGATGGTGAAGAGCAAGAAGAAGATATCGATTGTACAGGTAATAATGCCCTAGTAGTTGATGACGCCAATGCAGCAATATGATTACTGGAGGTCAATTGAAAATCTGTCCGTCTAGAATGCGATAGAAGCTGATCAGAAGAGAGTATGGAAGAGGTCATTTGACAGGGAACTGGTCCAGAAGTATTCTTTTGACTATCAGTGCCATGGAATGAATTTATCATTGATAAAGGATCTCTAATAGGATTTAATTGTCCAATATCTGTTTATAATATAAAACATAGAAATAAACGGAATGAAAAGTACAACTGAGAGAGAGATATGGAATAATGAATTTACAATAAAACAGTGACCACATACATACCTGAGTGTAATTGCTGCATGTTTTAAATCTCATTTGAAAAAGGCTCGATAAATTCAAAAAATAATTAATTCCTTGAAACCTCATGTAGGCAGATGTACTCGACACTCTATCAAATGACTTCCATTCTTCACCTAAAGCTCCACCCTCTATCTTAACACCATTTTGTGTCAATATTCCATAGGAGCAACGGAAAGATGTTTATTATTAATATTATTTCCTTTAATTCCTAGAGGAACATAAGGCTTCAGCCACGCGTCTCCATTGCGTTCGGTTCTCTGCTAGAGTTTTCATCTGGCTCCAAATCTGCCCACACACTTTCATCTCCTCTTCACATGACCTCCTCCAAGTCACCCACCCTCGCACTGACGACCAAATCACCGCTTCCCTTTCGGGTTCCACTCGAGCAATGGCTTGTCTAGTGATGCCACTTGATGGTTTCCTCAGAGTATGGCCAATCCATCTCCATTTCTCCCTGTATATTTGTTTCATAATCGGTTTCTGCTGGGTTGGTTCGCTCCCACAGATCCCTTCCTGTTGCTGATCTTTTCTGGCCATCTCATCTTGAGTATTGAGCGAAGACAACTGTTAATGAAGGTCTGTAGTTTGTTTGAGGTGCTCTTTATGAGGTGCCAAGTCTCTGATCCGTATAGTGAGTAGCACTGACTTCACATTGGAGTTGGAAATTCGGTTTCTATTTTCATTTTCATGCTGAGTGTTGTTGACCTCCACACTGACTTGAGAGTAATGAAAGCTTGCCTTGCTTTCACAATCCTTGCTTTGATATCCCCGTCAGTTCCGCCTGCAGTTGAAACGATGCTTCCCAGGTAGGTAGGTAGGTAAAGGAGGTTGTTTCTTTCACGTTCCTCCCATTTATGCTGATTGTTGTCTGTTGTTGGCCAGGAATCTTCATCACCTCTGTTTTCTCTATGTTCCCCTGAAGTCCTATCTTTGATGCTTTACGGTTGGAAAATGTTATATTTTACCAACGTAAAGCAGACTGTTGCTCAGCACCTCTGCTGTATGCTAGATTTACGGTGTTTCATCAAAGCCTGAGAATCATTTTTGAGACAGTTTGTAGAACTTCTTTGCCTAAGAAGCTACTATGATACGCAATAAGTCAAGACTAAAATGGATACGCTGAGTTGGACACAGACGCACTGATCACAACTGTTGCACAACCACGCTAATAAGATAACGCGACAGCTACTTGTTCCTCAGCCCACACCACTGAAACGACAACACATAACGATGTCAGCCACAAAGCATATTTCTCACAATAATGTATGATTCAAAATATCACCAAGGTTATATCAATTAGTCTATAATCATGATCAATAAAACACTGGGCGTTATTTTATATGGGTCAAATTCTGATTGGCTCATCTCCAGACTAAATATCGATCACTTATGTTGACTAATTCTGATTGGTTTATTTCTAGACTGGACATCAACCGCCATATCAGAAGCTGACATACATCAAGACATATTGATCATTTCGATTCAACAAATTAACAGCGATCAAATGACTATACTAAGATTTTTTTGTCCCAGGTCATCATACTAAGAACGATTGAGATGCCCAGAATTTTTAGTCATATTATGTGATTCTAAATAAAAGGCATGGAACACTTTACTCAAAAAAAGAATTGACTAAATGAAATGACGAAATCAATACTAAGGGTCGTAAGTTCACATCAATATAAGTTTTATTATAGTGTGAAACTTAAAGTCCAAAAATTAAAGACATCACGAAGCTTTCTATAGTTTGGTTTGTAAGGGTTAGTTTTGTTTTTACGAGTTGATCACGGATTGATATCAGTTAGAGAACCATTGAAAACCAGCACCGGAAAACTGGACAGCTGTCTCATCCTAGTTTGAGAATCATCGTTAGTACACACCCACCACCAGGGTTCGAACCCAGGACCTTCCGGTTACAAGGCAAGCTAACTCGTATATCATTCAGCCACTGGGACCCGATTCAATCCGCGATCAACTCGTAAAGACAGAACTAACCCTTACAAATCAAATTATAGAAAATTAATCTGATGCTAGCTAGTGACTTCCTACAGGATGGAGTTTTCTGGGGTTCTAGTGAGAAGTCGTGACCAGTGAGGTCCATCCAGATGTCACGTGTGAAGATGGATGTCCCACCTACGAAAATGGTTGGGGTCGCGCTAAATCACGAATTAGTAGAATTCATGCACTGGCCATTGAATCGGATCCCAGTGACTGAATGGTATACAAGTGCTTGACTTGTAACCGTAAGGTCCTGGGTTCGAACCCCAGTGGGTGTGAAATGATTCCCAAACTAGGATGAAACAGCTGTCCAGTACTCCCTGGTTTTCAATGGTTCTCTTGTAACGACAGAAGGCAAGAGTCAGGCAACAGATCCTTTATTAAGGAAAATCAACACATATTTAGAGATTTTAATGTACATTATTGTAGATTATTGCTAGTAGAAAATAGTCTTTTGATTGGTTGTTTCTCACAGAAAGTTAACCTTGCATCTCTTTGTGGCTGTGTCAGATCATCTATATGCTAACTGTATCCACCTACGCAAAGTCTGCTGTCCATCTTTGACCTTGTTTTCACATGACTAATATTTGAGACATAAACATTGACGTCAATTACTGTCTACCAATTTGGCTAGCAACCATCTCTCACCACACTCTAACTGATATCAATCCGTGATCAACTCGTAAAAACATAACAACAATTGTCCTTTCTTCATTAACCCTCAAGGTTAACAACACGTTAGTGTATCCCCAGATTTGATAGTGAGACTTTTACGGCTAAATATCAAGGCACAGTGATAGTATTACTACTTTTATTATTATTATTATACGTCGAGATTCGTGATAAGGGCTAATTATTTTATTAGCACATGTCATAGATTTAAGAGCACGGATAATAACTAACATTAAGAAAATCCAGGTGAAACAGTTCACGTTAACTCCTAAAACTAAAACCATAAACTTATTTTAACAGAAAGATTGTTTGGAAAACTCCTCCTGAACGACATAATCATAATATTTAACCTATTTGGACGTGTCAAGAAACTTTGTAATTGTATGGAGGATTTCATCATCAGTTAGAGAACCACTGGAAAACCTGGGAGTACTGGACAGCTGTTTCGTCCTAGTTTGGTTCTCTAATTGATGTCAGCTCATGATGAAATCCTCCATACAATTAAACAAAATCTCTACCAAACCAATACTTGAAAACTTTGTAATTATCATTCCGTTTTTCTTCTAGACTGTTTATCGTTATTTTGACATTTTGATTTGGTCCTTATTGTTTGTTTTTGTCCCTGTTTAATGCTTAATTGTAATTCTTTTGTTTGTGGCTTTGTGTACATTGATAATGTGTTGTTTAACAATGTGACTTTGTTTTAGTGAATCAAGGTTATTCTTATCTTAGACTGTCTGCAGGAAGCGTTGGTGTGTAATTCTTGTGGGCAGTGGTTTTGATTCCACCTTGTTGGGAATATTTTTTACTTGATTCTAAATATTTGTTTTGTACTTAGACTGGACTGTATAGCTGCTTAACGGTACTTTTGGGAGTAATTTTTAATCTTATTATTGTTGTATAGAACCACGCACACATACAGTTTCAGACAGCTATACACAGTAGGATGCAAGGATCGGTTCTCTGCGTTTACACTACAACGAGTAGGCTTTGGTCGTAATACTTATATTGAATACATTTACACCGTACCTAACTGAAACAATCTGAGTTGTAGTCTAGTAGTCTTGAGATTCAGTATATCATCAAAAGGTTAAGATGTGTGCATCATAATGGAAGGTAATAAAGATCCTACACTGATTGCTACAATCATACTCTTGGTCATTTTCTTTTAAGTAGGGAGGAATAGAGATCAGCGTGAAAAACTTCACAAAGGTGGTGTCAGTATGGGTCACCATCACATGTGACAACGATGAAACAACAGTACTAACGAAATTATGGGACAGAAGGAAATAACTGTATGGAGCTTAGTGGGAATATTAGAGAGAGAGAGCGCGCGCGATTATCAGACTGATTCTGAGCATCCTCATTGGCTGGTTTCAGCATAGAACTTTGCACAAACTTGCAGCAGTTCAACTTGACACATTCCACATATCATACAAACGAAGATGCAGAGTCTTCTGAACACCTTGAGCTGCAATCTACGAATGTTTGGAATGCGGTTCGCTCCCGCCAAATGTAAGATGATGGTAGAGGACTGGATTACACTGACTCCTAGTTTAGAAATAGGAAGTGAAGTGGTAGAGCACTTTGACCGCTTCACTTATTTGGGAAGTACCATCAGCCCCAACGGGTTGATCTCTGACGAAATCTCAGTACGGATAAAGAGGGCTAGTTTAGCATATGTCAGTTTACGCCGTCTATGGCGTAGACGTGATATCCCACTGTCGACGAAAGGGCGGGTGTACTGCTCAACAGTCCGTTCTGTCCTCCTTTATGGTTGTGAGACCTGGCCATTGAGAGTGGAAGACATGAAAAGATTAGTTGTCTTCGATCATAGGTGTCTGCGTTCTATCTCCCACGTGAAGTGGTATAATAAGGTGAGCAATATTGAGGTTAGGCGTCGGTCGAGTGCTAGGTAAGGAGGGGAAATCAATCGACGAGGCTGTGAAATTACATCGACTGAGATGATTAGGACATGTGTTACGTATGCCTAGTCATCGCCTTCCTCGACCGACAGGTAATGTTAGCTGACATAGGGTCAGGCTGGAAAAGAGCTAGCGGCGGTCAAACCAAAATATGGCACCAGTCAATGAAATCCACAACAGTTCATCTAAGCCACGTAGGAAGGTGTAGACTTCCTGACTGGTTGAGCTCCTCGGGACGGTAAAAACCAATGGTGGTGGTTGGAGAAAAGCGGTAATATGACTCAA